AGGAGGTCTTAATCAAGGTAGACGTATTGGAAATCCCTCTTACTGAATCCGTTGGCAAGGAGGTCTTAATCAAGGTAGTGCTGGGGGCTTTACCAACAAATGTGATGTCTTGCTTTAAGTTGCCACGGAAACTATGGAATTTCATTCTGAAGCATGTCCGGCGATTCTGGTGGGGTAAACCGGATGGTTCTCCCAGTATTAATTGGGTTGCCTGGGAGTTTTTATGTGCGTTGAAAGTGGAAGGGGGGCTGGGATTTTGTAGCTTTAAGCATTTAATACGGCATTGTTGGCTAAACAGGGTTGGAACTTTTAGGTTCTACAAAATGGATTGGCTTTTAAGTTGTTTAAAGCCAAATATTTTCGCTATTGTTCCTTTTTGGACGCCTGATTGTGATCTAATCCTTCATGGGCCTGGCGGAGTATATGATCTACTCAATCTCTTATTGTGGCCAGTTCTCGATGGATTGTGGGAGATGGGAGGTCTATTCATATATGGGAGGACTGTTGGATTCCTGGTATGTCTCATTCGCTTCCGTTACTAGTTACTTCTGTGGCTCCCCAGTTTGTGGCTGACTTGATTGATCATTCCAACCAAGGATGGAATGTGGGATTGATTCAACAGTTGTTTCCATTGGACATTGTTGCCTCTATTCTTCAATGTAGCTTTAGTTTATTCTTTAAAAAAGGTGTGTTGGGTTGGAATTTAGAGACTAATGGTATGTTCTTTGTGAAATTTGAGTATCATTTGGCTTATCATTTATTGTGTAGTGGAAGTAGGTCTCTGGAGATCTCTACTTCAGATCCTGTTGTTCAGTTGTTGTGGGATAGTCTTTGGTCTTGCAAAATCCAGCCCAAGATTAAGCATTTCCTGTGGAGGTGTTGTAAGTTGGCTCTTCCAGTTCGAAAATGTCTCCTTGGTCATGGCCTTACTGTTGAGGTTGTGTGCCCTCATTGTGGCTTGGATGAGGAATCTATTGAGCATTTGCTTTTTCTGCGCCTTCACTCTGTTTAGGTTTGGAAGCTTTCACCACATCAAATTATATATATATATATATATATATATTCATGCATTAGCATGGGGTGAGAAAAGGAAAGGAAAGTGTTTTGGAAAGGGAAAAGAAAGGAGGGTGTTTTGAGAAGGAAAGAAATCTGTTTTTGGGAAAAGGTTTGGGAATGGGAAGTGACATTATTTGCATGGCATTACACTCATTGTGTATGGACATGTATATAAAGATGTGTGATGATATATTTTTTCACCAAAATAAATACGACCCCTCTTCAATGTGCTGTTCTTTGGTTGGATTCACGGGATCGTTAAGGGGTGCGTTTTAGGCACTCCCTACTGAGCTTTATGCTCACCCCATTATATTAACATTTTTCAGGTCACGGGAAGAAGGTGGCGGATGACCATCCACCATAAGCACGAGGGACACTTAGAAGAATGTTTTGTACCCTTTGTATTTTAAATCCGTTTCTTTGTAAAAATATCATTTTGGGATGTACAAGTTGTAAAATATGGGCTTGTAATGTAACTTTGAATCCTTGATAGCATTTCATTGTAAATTGAATTAAATTTAAAGACAATGTAGTATCTTTTTTTTATTTATTTAAAAAAGTGTGATGGGACAGGTTTGGATGAATTTCAAGGTCCCTACCAAAGCCTTTCTTCATTTTCACAATTACAGCATTTCAGCAGCTGAAACCCAGTTCACTGTTGAACTCATAACCGGCCAACTGAAATGCTTGTTTCTTTGTTCTTTTCTTCAGTGATATCCATCTAGAATCTTGGGAAGTTGCATAGAGCCTTGTGAAGCATAGATATGACCTAAGAATGATGTTTTTGATACTAGACTTGAAGTGTTGACTTAAGTGACATCGGGTTCCGGTAAGGACCCGGTTAACGATTCGGACCCACGGGTTCGGGTCGTTACAATCTGTCTTCGTAAAACAGTTTTATGGGCTTTGTCTTTTTCTTTTGATCATGTTTGGTTTGAATGTGACTCTCTTGTTATGGTCAAGGCTGTGTCTGGTGTTATCTTGGGCGTATGAAAATTCATGTGATCTCTTTTGATGTTCAAGTGGCACTTCGAAGCTTTTCTTTATCTTTTCTTAGTCATGTTTATAGGCATGACAATGAGGTTGCCCATGCTCTTGTAGCTTTGTCTAGAAGTCATATACCAAAGGATGTGGTTAGCAGCTACGGATTGTATGTCTTGATGTGCTTTTGCTGCCCCTCTGTGTTTGTCAGGTTAAAAAAAAAAAAATAAAAAAAAAAGGTTTAATTTAATCGATAAGGACAACACAATTGAAGTTTTTTTTGGTTGTGTTTTTGGAACCTCAGTTAATGTTGTCTTGTCGAATTTAGGAGGGAAGGAATAAATCAATTCCATTAAGTGTGGCGTGTGGATCATGAACAGAATAAAAACATCGTCTTTCTCACTACCTCGTCGTCTAAGACCCTATGAGTGCGGAGAGGGTCTACTACGTTGACACATGAGACACTTACTAATGAATATTATTTATTTATTTTGAAAACTTTCTTTTTATTTATTACTCTCTCAAATTAAATTTTTAAATTTATATTTTTTCTTGTCTCAAAATAAATATTTTAGTATTACTTTACTGATAAATTTTAGTATTTTATTTTATTAATAGTGAATGAATTGACAAATTTATTCATATAGTGATTAATGCAAGAAAGTTAAATTGATAATGTTATGAAAAAAAAAAAAAAAATTAATACTTTGACTTTTCAAGACATTTATTTGGGACACAAAAAAATAAAAAAATTCACATTTATTTTGAGACAAGGAGTAACAAATTTGTACTAATTCCTTGTCCGACATATAACTACCATTGAAAAAATAGTGCAGTACATAGAATTGAAAAAAAAATAAAAATCAATTTGAAAAGATTGATATAAGAGTTGATATAAATTAGTACAGTGTAATTTAACGTTGGTACATCTTCTAAAACGAAGTGAAAAAAACGTGTATAGAAATTGCCTTGCATAATATATTTAGTTATGTATAGATATAATAATATATAAATATAATATATTATAATTTATTCACCAAAATAAAATTTTAAATTTCAGAAAAATTGCGTCGCATAATTTAATGAATTTCACAACCAGGGTTAATTATAAACAAATAATATAAGTAATTTTAGTTAGATCATTGTTAAAGTTAATTTGATTGCATTTCCAAAAGCATCTCCATCTAAATTACTTTTATTTTATTTTATTTATTTATTTATTATTATTATTATTATTATTTTGTTTTAAATAAATCTAATTTGTTATAATAAATTTATATAAAAAAAAAACTTGGACTAATTTTTTTTAACTACAACTCTTGTTTTATATATTTGGTGTAAAAATATATCTACTAATAGTAACCAATCAAGTGTCATGTTTAGACCCAATAACTTTTACAAATTTACTTTAATAAACGATTGATTCGTGAATGGAATGAGAAAGAGGGAAGAGAAAAAAATATGTTAACGTGGATGTGTAAAAGGGTTGAATAAAATACACAATAATTTTACACATTAACGAGGTGTTAATGTATCTTAACATACTATTGAAGATAAATTTTTTTTTTACATATTGTGTACATTTTACACCAAAAAAAAAGTCTTTTTAACACACTGTTGGATATGCTCTAATGGTTGTCATGGTTGTTTATATATATATATATATATATTTGTAAATCTGATATGTCATAATAGATTTACACAAAAATTTTGGACTAATTATTTTTAGTTCCAGCCATTATTCTATTTCTTCTGTGTATATATATATATATATATATATATATATATCTACTAATAACAACCACCTATATGTCATGCATGCTCAAGACGTCACATAACTTTTATAAACCTACTTAGCATATATGATTGATTTGTCAATGGAATGAGAAAGAGGGAGGGGAGAAAAAATATGTTAATGTGACTGTGTCAAGGAGTTGTGTAAAATACATAACAATTTTATACATTTACGAGACAACCATGTAGCTTAACATAGTAATAGAAATAAATTCTTATTACACATTATATATATATTTTACAAAATTTTTTTTAAAAGAGGAGATGCTCTAAAGATAGCATAATTGATGCACATGTCCCTGTTGTGGAATTGAGAAAAAAGGAGAAGAAAAAAACAACAAAAAAAAATTTAACTTGGTGGGTCCATTTAATTCTAGGAGTTGTGTTGTGGGGCCACCATATGAAGACTTTCTGACTTTGTCAAGTCTTCCTAAGCTCCATACACCACTGGCGTAACACATACGATGAATGTGGCCTGCGAATGTGTGATAATGAGACTTTGTTTTGTGACTTATCGACATGGCAGTTGACTCTCTTGTGGACTTGGAGATCAGTCCAATAGCTGTTGGCACAGCGTACTATTTATATCTTCCCAAAAAGTAGGAATTACTAATTTCATTATATATATACATAAATGTATAATGTATAAAATAAAAAAACTCGAAAATAATTTCAACAAGAAGAAAAAAAAAAAAAAAAAAAAAGGAAAATTACTAAGTAATACCATAAAAAGTACGGCTGGGATTTGGGTGGACCTATCCCAAGCAACTCGATTCTCGCTAGAAAATTTTATTGGTGTGAAAAATGTTGTTAAGACCATGGGACATGGTCGGGATTGGGTTTAAACGTTATTAAAATCTGAATTTATTTTGAGTGGAATTTGGGATTAGATTTTTCTAACCTATGAACCTGAAATATAAGAAAAGTATATACAAGTGTGTGTGTATATATATATATATAAATGTTATAAGTTTTATAGATGATTTAATATTTATAGCAAGATATTGAACTAACTTACACACATTTGCTTTAAAATTTTAAAGTAAAAAATTATAATAATTGAATTTTAGTTAAGGAAACAAAGTAATAAAGAATAAAAATGCAAAGATGAGTGGCGTGTGCTCAACTAAAATATGACTTCCGTGCAGTATAATACACATTAAGATATGATGGGTTACTCTAAATTTGGACTTGGTATCGACTATGGTGCTAGAAGTTAGAACCTTGAGTTTGGTGTTGGCTAACCTCTTAGCCGCCCAAGTTCCATCCCTAGTAAAAAGTGAGGGCAGATTTGGTAGTTCATAGTTACTGGTGTAATGCTCCTGTGTGGAAGTCTTAATTTAGCGGAAGACTAAAGAATAGTAGTAGTAGACTTTAGTGAGAGCCACTTTCGTTGCCTTCCGCTTCTAGCTTCTCTGCAATGACTTCAAGTCTTCAAGACTCCTCTTATAAAAGACATATATATATGTGTGTGTGTGTGTTGTGAATACTCTCATAATCTCATTGCATATCTTCAAGAACACTATAGGTAGCAATAGTACTTATCTTAGTCTTGTTGTTTTTGTTCTAGTGTGGTTGTTAGGATCATCTGCCAAGTGCATTGAGAGGGAGAGGAAAGCACTTGTCACCTTCAAACATGGTCTCAATGATCCTTCTGGTAGACTTTCTTCTTGGAAGGGTGATGATTGCTGCCGATGGAGTGGCGTCAGATGCAACAACATATCCGGACATGTCGTCAAGCTCGACCTCAGAAACTCATTTCCAATACCCAGCGTTGAGGATTATAATTCATTGCAGTTCTATGAAAAGATGACCTATGAATCACAATACCAACGGTCTCTTTTGAGAGGTAACATAAGTTCTTCTTTGCTTCAGTTGAAATATTTGAATTATTTGGACTTGAGCGTCAATTGTTTTGAAGGAATTCAAATTCCTAAATTCTTGGGTATGTTTGAGCACTTGAAATATCTCAATCTCTCTTCTTCATTCTTTTCGGGAGAGATTCCACCTCATCTTGGAAATCTATCCAACCTGAGATATCTTCATCTTGGTTTTGATACAATATTCACTGCAAATTTGGAATGGCTCTCACATCTCTCATCTTTGAAATACCTTAAAATGGAAAACATTGGAGTCTATGACACTGATTGGCTACAATCAATCAATATGCTTCCTAACCTTGTGGAGTTACACTTGCCTTCGTGTTTTCTACCGAGCCTTCCACTCTCACTCTCGTTCGTGAACTTAACTTTGCTTTCAGTCCTTGATATCTCTGGTAATGTGTTTAACTCCTCAATACCAAACTGGTTGTCTAATCTTACGATCCTCACGGAACTTCATCTCAGCACAAATCACTTCAATGGAGCCAGTCCGAGAGAATTTGTGAACTTCGAGTCTTTGGAAGACCTTGATTTGTCTGACAATGATTTCAAAGGTCAAATACCAAGATTTTTTGAAAATCTTTGCAAACTTAAAATTTTAGACCTTTCTACAAACAATTTCAACAGTGGGGTGGTTGAGTTTTTTGGTGGATTCTCAGGCTGTCCAACCAATAGCCTAGTATCACTAAATTTAGGGTCTAACTCTTTTGGAGGGGAACTGCCTGATTCAATAGGAAGATTTAAGAATCTTCAACATTTGTACCTCTTTCAAAACTCCTTCTGGGGTTCAATTCCAACATCGATTGGAAATTTGTCAAACTTGCAAGAATTGGACATGTCCGAAAATGAGATGAATGGATCCATTCCTTTTGGACAACTCTCAAATCTCATAAAACTAAATCTCAATTGGAATTCATGGGAAAGTGTTGTAACAGAAGCTCAATTGATAAATCTCACAAGATTAGAATATTTATCAATAAGATTAGCGGACAATGTCACATCCTTGGTTTTCAATGTGACATACGAATGGATACCCCCTTTCAGGCTAGAGTATCTTGAGCTAAAAAATTGCTTAGTGGGCCCTAGATTCCCAATATGGGTTCAAGTTCAAAGTGATCTCGCTCATGTGGTACTAAAAAATGTTGGAATTATAGATACCATACCTGAGCAATGGTTTTCCATGTTATCTTCCAAAGTCACCTATTTGGATGTATCTGGCAACCAAATAAATGGGAAGCTACCAATCCATTTAGCATATCCAAATCTACACTATTTGGATTTGAGTAATAATCGTTTTGAGGGTTCCCTTCCATTATGGTCCACTAATGTTTCTGTGCTTTATATTAACAACAACTCATTTGCGGGACCGATTCCATCAAATATTGCTGAATTGATGCCGCGATTGCGTCTTTTCTATATGTTTGAGAATCGTCTCAGTGGTACAATTCCATCATCGATTTGTACAATGGAAGATTTGGAATATCTTATCCTCAGGACTAATCAATTATCTGGAGAAATACCTCAGTGCTGGAATGAATCACAAAATTTAATCTTCATGGATGTAGCGAGCAATAATCTATCAGGTAACATTCCAAGCTCATTGGGTTTGTTGAGTTCTCTTAAGGTATTAATGTTGAGCAACAATCATCTACAAGGGGAAATTCCTCCATCCTTGCAAAAGTGCAATTTGACATTGATTGATCTTGGAGGAAACAAATTGTCAGGAAAATTACCTTTGTGGATAGGAGAACGTGCCACTGCACAAATACTTCGGTTGACAATGGTGCAATCTCACAAATCTTCACACCCTAGATCTTGCATGCAACAACCTTTCTGGAGTTATTCCTCATTGTTTGGGTAATTTGTTAGCTCTGGGTAAACTAGGTGATGATTTTGAGTACCTAGAGAACATGGAGCAAATGATGGTTGTGGCAAAAGGACAAGAGCTCAAATATCATGGCGGGACTATACACTATGTCAAGAGCATTGATCTTTCAGCAAATAACCTAGTTGGTGGAATTCCTGAAGAGATAACAAGCCTTGTTGCCCTTGGTACCTTAAATTTTTCAATGAATGATTTGTCTGGATGCATCCCGGATAATATTGGAAACCTGCGGTGGTTGGAAACCTTAGATGTTTCAGACAACAATCTATCGGGACTGATTCCTCAAAGTTTTTCTTCATTAACATCTTTGGCTCATTTGAATCTTTCTTACAACAACTTGGTAGGAAAAATTCCCTCTGGATATCAGCTCCAAACACTCGATGATCCATCCATTTATGAAGGTAACCCTTTGTTGTGCGGACTACCTCTTCCAACCAAGTGCCCTGGTGATGATACATCTAATGTGTCTCCTCCTAGTGGAGGAGGTCTGGATGACGATGACAATGAAAATGATCTTGACATGGCATGGTTCTATATTAGCATGGGACCCGGATTTGTTGTTGGATTTTGGGTTGTTTTTGGTACTTTATTGATAAAGAAGTCATGGAGGCATGTCTACTTTCAGTTCTTGGAGAACATGATTGAAAGCATAGCTCTTAAGATTGCATTGGGAGTGGCTCGTTTGGGAAGAAGAAGGGCTTAGTGAAAAATTAATCTTGTTGGTGAGAAGGTCTTCTAATCTATTTGTTTCGAGTGTATCTGTGTGAGTGTGCAAGCACGGGCAAGTGCAATGCTCTGTGACTTGCTTTGTTGTTTTCTTCTATTTAGGAGTTGATGTGCAAGCATGTGTGCAATAATAAATTGTCATGTATAATTCCATCAAAAAACCATTTCCATTATCAAATAATATAGTTTTCGAACTCTAGTTATTGGTAATTAGGCTATTCCAATCTACGAATCTGTGTCATAATAACTGAAGGCATATTATTGATGCAAAGACTAATAATATGTACATTTAATTATTGCAAAGACTAAATCAGAGCGTACGAGTTCGACTACGACACCAATTTTGTGCTATATAGTGCTTGGGGTTGCTCATCACACTTCCATTCTTAATGCCTATGTAGCATTGGAAACCGTAACCACGCAAAATTAATTAATTGAAGTGCAAATTGATAAAGCTAAGAAAACATTAACGAATAAGTCAAATCCTAAGCATAGAACAAAATTTTATATTTTTAATTTGACAGTGATCCTTGCATAATGCATATTCTTGGCATTTGTTTCTTAGAGCGGGTCTGGAATTACTTTTCAACTGCTTAAAAGCACTTTTAAAAGCCATTAGGTTCTCAGATTTAGTTATTCTATTGCTGCATCATGGTCAAAGTATTCTTCTTTATATTTTTAATTTGACAGTGATCCTTGCATAATGCATATTCTTGGCATTTGTTTCTTAGAGCGGGTCTGGAATTACTTTTCAACTGCTTAAAAGCACTTTTAAAAGCCATTAGGTTCTCAGATTTAGTTATTCTATTGCTGCATCATGGTCAAAGTATTCTTCTTTATACCTCCCTGGTTTAGCTTGATATATAATGTCAATCATTTGTGATGGTGTTCTTGTCGGAGTTATTGTAGTAGTTTCGATCCTTTAGCCAGTGATGTTGATTCTGATGCCATATGACTGAAGGATTTAGTGAAGCTCTCCTCCAAGCTCTGCTCTCTGGCGCACAGCTTGCTGCAGTTCACGACCTTCTGGACAGTGGCGAGAAGACTGGGAAAAAGCCGGTCATCACCAATCTTCTCCAGAAGCAGTTATATGGCATTTACAGCCAGTTCTTGGATTCAAATATATCAGTTGCTGCACAGATCTCTCTCGTGCCGGCTGGCACTGACACATTTCGCCTTATATATATATATCTTCAGATTTTGGCTTTTAAATAACTGTTAATCCTTAAATTGGCTTTTTCAGATTTTAGCTTTTAACTAATTGTTAACCCTTAAAATTGCTAGTACAGGCGTGCCAGAATTAATGGGCTTGGTACAATTTGTAGAGATCCGATCAATTTACGTCTCTTTTGTGAAATAATTTGGACATGCGATTATGGAAGGAGAGAACATTAACTTTCTAGAATGGGTTCTAATTGCCTTAAGAAAATAGTACTTTAAAATTGTAAATGAGAATGAATTGGAGTTGAAATTGAAAGGGAAGCGTGTACAGAAATTAAAGAAAGTAATGTTGCTGGAAACGAGTTTTGCAAGGAAAGGAAATAACAGAGAGCGAGAGACCTACTGTAAAAGGAAATTGAAGAGGATAAGGAAACAACTAATAAATAAATTAAATTAAATTAGAATAATTAACTAATGGAGTTGAATTAAACTAGAAAACATAGATATAATTATTCTAAGAAAGCATGATTTAGAGAGTATTTCTATTGATGCGATTTTTCTGAGGGTGCTTGACCCTTTACAACGATTTACGACTACCGCCATCATAAATATTTATAGATTACATAATAAACTCAAACCCTAAAATTAAGATATTAAAATCTCTCATTCTCTCACTCAGATCCATCGTCCATTACGTAACCACCATGTCGCATTCCCAAGAAGGTTGTCAACAAAGCCCCCAATTTTTGGGATCCATTGCAAAGGTTCCAAAAATTTTAATGAACACCCCCTTTTTACCCGAGCCAAATAGTCAATTACCTTAATGCACTTAAGGTTACAAATCCCAAAAAATACAAAATTAATTAGCTCTTACTACCCCCTTAGGGTCCGTTTGGGAGGTGTTGTGTAGTGTAGTGTAATGCTCTAGCCTAGAACAGAACAAGTGTTTTGTGATGTAGTGTTCTGGAATGGGAACAAAACATATTTGGGATGAAAATTTGGAGTGAGAATTTTGGAATAAAAATTATTATTATTATTATTTTGATGATTAAAATAAATTAATTACAAAGCTTGATTAGTTTGCAAAACAAGAATTACAGAGCTTGAGTAGTTGATTTAGAAGAAAAAAAATTAAAACAATACCTATACACACAGAATTGCAGTTGGAGAGAGAGAGAGAGAGAGACTAGGGCAATTGGGAGGCTGAAATGATTTGCCCTAAAAAAAATATTGCAGAGTCGAGAACGAGAATAGAGATGGAGGTGTTTGGGAGGCTGAAATGATTTGCCCTAAAAAACATTAAAACAAAACCCATACAAGTTTGCAGTTGCAGAGAGAGAGCGAGAATAGAGATGGAGGCGTTTGGGAGGCTGAAATGATTTGCGCTAAAAAAAATTAAAACAAATCCCATACAAGTTTGCCGTTGCAGAGAGAGAGAGAGAGCGAGAATGGAGATGGAGGTGTTTGGTAGGCTGAAATGATTTGTCCTAAAAAAAATTAAAACAAATCCCATAATAGTTTGCAGTTGCAGAGAGAGAGAGATCGAGAATAGAGATAGAGGCGTTTGGGAGGCTAAAATGATTTGCCTTAAAAAAAAATAAAACAAAACCCATACTCACAATCTAAATTGCAGAGTTCAAAAAAATTGTAGATTTTGAACTTCTGATTCTTGTAGATTTTGTAGTTTGCAGTTGCAGAGAGAGAGAGAGAGAGAGAGAGATGGGGGGGGGGGGGGGGGCAAGTTCCAGAGTTGAGAACGAGAATACAGATTGAGGCAGGTTTTGAACTTCTGATCCTTGTAGATTTTGTGTTTGCAGTTGCAGAGAGGGAAAGGGAACAAGTTCCAGAGTTGAGAATGATAATAGAGACGGAGGCGATTGGGAGGCTGAAATGATTTGCCCTAATAAAAATTATCTCCGCTACAGCAAAAAAGATGGGCCTGGAACAACATAGAACACTAAATTGTTGTTCCACCTTTTGGGCCAAATAGTGGATGTGTTCTGAAAGTGTTCCACTACTGTTGAGAACATAACAAGACGGGCCAAACACCATATGTTCTGAAATGGGCTACTGTAGCACTGTAGTGAACAACACAGAACATGGTAGAACAAACACCAAACAGGCCCTTACTTACCATCATTATTGAAACTCTGAACTGTCATATCTAATTTGAAGCCTCACTGCCTCTACACATTACCGAACCTTAGAGTTCAAATCATTTGCCGCTGTAACGCATTTCCTCCTCCAACAAGTTTCCCATATGTAACCATGTCTTCCAATAGACAAAATTAGCAATCAAAGGTATGCTCCCCTCTAAGCTCCATCTAGACGTCCTAATCGACATCACCAACCATGGCAAAAGGCTTGGTCCAGCCTTTTCAAGTCGAATGCCCCTAAGACTCTCCACCTTCTACCCTCAAGTTGAGTTGCAATTGCCATATCTCCAAACCCTAACCCTTACTACCAAACGCGAAGGACCCTCTTTTTACATCAAAAATTGGCAACCCAACACTTGTTAATGGGCTCAGTGGGTAGACACAGTTTTTGTAGCAAAATGTGGCCTACGGAGGGTAAAATACGCTATATTTTTTAGGGATGGCAACGGGACAGGTTTGAAGCTGGTTTGCCTAAATCCGTGCCCGTCCCGTTTATTTAATAAAAACTCCATACCCGCCCGTACCCGTGACGGTTGAAATTTCATAATCCATCCCCGCCCCGTTGAAAAATATTTATATCCGTGCTCGCCCCGTTTAGGATTTGTTGACTTTTGTGGCTCAATTCTGATGTCAGCCATTGCATCATCAATTTTGCATCACCAATTACTTCATTATTCTTGGTAGCCAAGAAGTGTAATCAGTAAGCTACCATGCGTGGTCACCAAGTATAGAAACAGTTTGATGACATTCTGGCTATAAATAGCCTTGCTCCCATGGTGTTTGAGTAATCCAACAATTGAGTGAATTTGCTTAGTAAAGAAAAGTATAGTGTTGGAGAGTTTGGGTGTAATTGAGTTTTGGGTGTGAGGCACTTAACATTGTATCTCTTTATTTCCATAGTGAAATATTATTCTGTCTTCTCTCCGTGAACGTAGGTACAGCCGAACCACGTAAATCCTTGTCTCGTTTGTCCTTGTGCTTTATTTATTTTTCTTGTCGTTATTTTTTTTCTCTTGTTCTCAGAAACTCTTACTCGATCTTTATTTCGTAACAAATTTGTAACGACCCTAGCTGATGCCAAGAATTTTACAAAAAATTCGGCATAACCTCCCCTAAAAATAGGCCTACCATACTCTGTTTAAATTCATTTTTTACCTATCATGGCTCAAATTCCGAATTCACGGCAACAAAAGATAAAGATACAACCTACTAATCTAGACAATGCTTCAAGCTAGGATTATCCTTCCATTCATCAACAAGTTACATATCATCAAGTTCGCATCCCATATGTCATCAAGTATCATAAGTGTATTACATGATCATGGTTCTTCAAAAGAAATTTACATCATTACACCTTTGGAATTTTACAAAAATGAGGGATGAACAAAGGAGTAGTCTATTACAAAATAACAAGGAAAATGCTCCTCTAGCAACTTTCAAAGTTGGGGTGGGTTGTCGTCCACCGGTTCTTTTCCAAGACCTAAAAAAAATGTATAAATAGTAGGGTGAGCTATATGCTCAGTAGGTGACACTTAAGACACAAATCTTGTATCCTTGTGAATTCAAGCAAAGCATAGGCCAATGAGAGATAGGGATCATACAACGTAGGGGATCAAATACAACATACAAGTCAATTCCAAGTATAAACAATGCAATGCAA